TTCTGCAGGTTTTTATCAGTTTGAATGTTTAGCACCACCCCCAAACTCGCTCACAGGCTACTCATTAGGAGAAAGCCTCATATTCTCTCCTCTTGTTATGGAGGACCGTGGCTGCCAAAACAATAAATATATACAGAAATAAATAAATACATTTTAAAAAGATAAAATTTGCAAAGAAATGCATGCAATTATGAGAATAAGTGCATTTATTTCTGTATTTATTTTTTTATATATTTATTTATTTCTGTATTTATTTATTTATTTTTGTATTTATTCATACATTTATTTCTGCATTTATACATTTATTTCTCTATTTCTGTATTTATTTATTTATTTCTGTATTTATTAATTTTTCTGTATTTATTTCTCAATTTATTTCTGTATTTCTCTTAAATATTTATTTATTAAATAAATAAATATTTATTTATATTCTCCCCTACGCTCTCTATGGAGGACCATGTCTGCCAAAACAATAAATATATACAGACATTAATTAATTTAAAAAAGATAAAATTTGCAAAGAAATGCATGCAATTATGATAATAAGTGCATTTATTTCTGTATTTATTTCTTTATATATTTATTTTTATTTCTTTATTAATTTTTGTATTTAGTCATACATTTATTTCTGCATTTATACATTTATTTCTCTTTCTGTATTTATTTTTGTATTTATTTATTTATTTTTCTATTTATTTTTTTCTCTATTTATTTATTTCTGTATTTATCTCCGTATTTCTCTTAATGATATGCAAATCATGGGGTGGGCCGGGATGCCTCTGCTGTAAGCTCATTGGTTAATCTTTTTCCTTGCTCCATAGCTTGTCCAGCATAGGCGGTCATGTTGAGATCACTGTGTTCTTTTCAGACTATTAAGATGAAAAGAAGTGAGAGAACAGGTCAAATTCCAAAAATATTAGGGCGCTTTGGTGTAGCCTACGCGATACGCAGGTATAACCACGAGACGCCACTACAAATTGGACAAAGATAGGCTATGTATCACTCATTTGCGCAGTGTTACTTTTGCTCTTTCTGCCCGATTAAAGACCAGCCCAAACTCCACAACAAGTAACTATTTCCTCCCATGACACCGAGAGAGGGGACCGGTGGCATTTCATCCCTCTCTCTCTTTCTCAGGCACGGTTCCCTCTAACTGCGCAATTGCGCACGGCTCCCGTGTTGTCTGGACACAAAATAAAACATAGCTGATATGATAGAGGAGTATTAACGATCATCCTCCGCTCTGAGAGTCCACGATGTCGGCCTCTTTATACTCATTTCTAGGGGTGTGACAAGGGGTGTGGCGATACTTTCTCCCGCGATTCGATTATCGATATGCATTTGCCAAGTATCGATATCGATTTTGAAAAAAAAAAAGAAACTTTTTTTTTTTTTTTTAATTGGCATCAATACTTAATATATGGCTACATTACGCATCTCCATTCTATTAACCATGAAATCAAGAGTATTTGTTCTTTTATTTATGCCATAAATTGGCATATTGTATATATCTGACCAATATGTCAATAATCGTCATATCGTGATAAAATCGGTATCGTAATATCGTTATCGTGATATTATTGTTATCATGAGCTTTGTATCGTGTATCGTATCGTATCGTGAGGTACCCTTAGGTTCCCACCCCTACTCATTTCCCTGTCCGGCTCGTGACAGGCTTTTGGCAAAGGCAGTGACAGGTGCTCGTGTGTATTTTACTACAAAGCGCTGAAGTCCGCCGAAAAACCCAGCGTTTGAAGTGTGTGTTTTACACTCAGACACTGGCGCTTTCAGTGAAGGCTGAGAGAGACTGAAAAGTGGACGCGGCCACAGCACTGACCGAGCCATATTCATAGTACAAACGGTGGCACGAGTGTGGAGGGGAGTGTGGTGATCTCAACATGACCGCCTATGCTGGACAAGCTATGGAGCAAGGAAAAAGATTAACCAATGAGCTTAAAGCAGAGGCATCCCGGCCCACTCCATGACTTGCATATCATTAAGTGAAATACGGAAATAAATACAGAAAAAAATAAATAGAGAAATAAATAAATAAATACAAAAATAAATACAGAAATAGAGAAATAAATGCAGAAATAAATGTATGAATAAATACAAAAATAAATAAATAAATATATAAATAAATAAATATATAAATAAATAAATACAGAAATAAATATGTATATAAATAAATATATAATTAAATAAATACAGATTTAAATGCACTTATTCTCCAAATTTCATGCATTTCTTAGCAAATTTTATCTTTCTATCTTTCTATCTTTTTTTTCTATCTTTTTTATCTTTAAATCTAATTTATTTATTTCTGTATATATTTATTGTTTTGGCAGCCACGGTCCTCCATAGCTCTCCTCCCACAGAGCCATCTAGTTTTAGTAGTGATCTGGTACGCAAATGTTTGCATTAGCCCAACTTATTGTAAGCTGTAGAACAATCACAGATTAAATGGTACAAAAGCAACGCACTGCTAACAAAATATACAGAACAGTAACTGAAAGATTATTGCCAGTTTTGAGTCCAAATTTAGTACAAGGCAGGCCCGCACCTAAAGGTCTCTCCAGAGGATACGATGTAAGCTACCTACAGTATGTTCACCCAGGCTTGATTTTTTTTTTTTTTTTTTTTTTTTTTTTTTTAGCACACAATAATGAACAATCATATACATAGTTCCCACATGACGTCACTACATACGGGGATTTGCCGACCCGGCGACATTTGTGTTGGCATTCTGTGGGCAAAACAATAGAAAAAGAAGCTGAAACGTGTTAATGTCGTGATAAAGTTGAAAATGGTCATCTCCTGCTGGGTCAATGGATGTTCAAATCGTGCCGGAGGTTCCGTTAAACTTGGATTTTACAGTATACCCATCATTAGACTTCATGAATGTGAGAAGACAAAGCTTTTGTCAGAACAACCACGGAGGTTATGGCTTGCGAAGATAAACAGGCAAGAAACTCCCTCAAAACACGCAAGAATATGCTCGGAGCACTTTGTGTCAGGTGCGTATCGTATCTCATAATGTGTTGACAGACGTAATTTACTCAGTACTAACTTGTGTATGCTGATAGCTGGTAACTTGAGAGTTTCATTATTTAGCGTTAGATTACTTTATTATGAGGAGGATCGGTGTCGCGTCCGAGGCTCTCGAGGGCAACGTAAATGTATTAAATAGATAATAATAGTTCTATGGTGGGCTAAAACAATGTTCACAAACAGCATTGCTTCTGTAAAAAGATCTGTGTCATAAAATAAACTGCTCTTTACGCCTGGAAAAATCAGTTGCCCACCATTCACCAAAACATACGGTCAAAAACGCGGAAATAAACAATAACAGCAATCCAGAGTGTCCGTGTGGCATTAGCATTAATTAAATTAATTGTTAATATAATTAAAATAATTAAATGGAGCTCCAACTGGTATTAAATCTAAAGTTTTTGAGAAATGTTTGCATTGCTTGTTATTTTTGCTGCATAATTTGATCAAATATGTAAAACATGTCCGTAAGACGTTAAACTGTGGTGCCATTGTATTAATATACAATTATTTGCTCAAAAGTTGCCCTTTTTTTTCCAATTTGCGTTTGAATATCTACATTTATTCTCATTCTTCTGTTTAATGGAATGCACAAACACAGCAGCGTGCCATCAAAGATGGCGTCTCCGAGGAGGTCATGTGACATTCATTGGTCTGTGGGAACTATGTATACAAGTTGTACACAAATTGTAAATGTGCCAGATTGTAGCAACACTGCTAATTTACATCCGTAGTCCCGAGGTAGGTCACACAATAATAAAAATACAAAACACAAGATACAGCTATTGAAAGTTACAGTTAGTTAAGATTAGTGCAGGACTGATTTACTTTAAAATGGTGTTTAAGTTGTTTTTTAAAAGAGCTATATGTTGGGCATTCTCTTATGTCTGTAGGAAGGTTGTTCCAAGACTGACCTCCTCTGACTGACAGCACAGTTTGTCCAAATGTAGTTTTTCTGTGTGGGATCTCCATATCTTCTTTATTTTTTCGCTTTAGTTCCCTCTTCTCCTTCTCACTTTTCAGTCTTTTGGGCTGTTTTGTTGTGTATTCAGTTTCAGCCAGAGGAGGTATAGCCACTTTCTGCTGCCATGCTGATGTGTTTATGAACTAATTAGAAAATAAATCAGGTAGTTCCTGGAGGCTTGGTACCAAAAGGCTTTGCCGCGAAGAAGGAGCCAAGCCATTTATTGCTTTGTATGTTAAAAGAGGGATTTTAAGCTTTATTCTGTACCCCACAGGAAGCCAGTGGAGTAATTTTAACACCGGAGTTATGTGCTCCCTCCTTGCTGTTTTAGTTGCTTGGTTTATATAAACCATGAAGGAGTTCTTTGTCGGAAACGACTCCAAGATTCCTCACAGTGCTGCTGGGACCATGCTGACGTTGTCGAGAGTGATTGTCTGGTTGGCAAGGGAGTCGCAAAAACTTTTGGACCGAGTAGGATGACTTCTTTCTTCTCCGGGTTAAGAAGTAGAAAGTTAAGAGTCATCAACGTTTTTAGGTCTTTTATGCAGGCACTAAGCCTTTTAAACTGATTTGACTTATATGGTTTCATCGACAGGTAAAGCTCTATGTCAGTGGAAGTAAATTCCATGATTTTTAATGATGTTGCCTAACAACAGCATGCAGACCACTCGGATACGTTTGGGTCTGTCAGGTCTGACTGATATCCTCCTCTGCAAGCCATCTGAGCCATCTCACCACCAGGTGGTGATCAGTCAGGGCATACAGACATGTCTTCACATGGCCGACTGGAGCGGGAGAGAGAAGAACTCTCTGCTATACTACAGCCAGTGGTGCGGAGCCACAGATAATGCCATGCTTCACTTGATCACTGTACAGAGAGACTTAGACTTACAGCTGGGCCATGAGTACATGGACCACAACACACATTTGGCCTAGGACCCTTTTAATTTATAAGAGTACTAATGTTCTTTGATTGTGTCCTCAGACTGGAACCAGACAGAGTATGGCTCTCCGTCTCCGTATGAAAGAGGAGAGGCTTCCCAGGTGCTGCCCATCATGCTGCTGTTCCTGACCCCTCAGTATGTCTCCATCATTGGGATCGGCTGTGTGGCTGCTGCCGTCATGTCCTCTGCAGACTCCGCACTTATGTCTAGCTCCAGTGTTTTTTCTGCTAATGTCTACAAGAACATCCTCAGGCCCCAGGTAAATAGCACTGATCTAAAGGAGAGATGATATTGTTTCACTTTGAAAGAAATGGAGATGACACTGCACACCTTTTGCTCCCATGCAGGAGATTTTAATAATCACCACAAAATGACGTTTTGGGTCACTACCCTTCATCAGACATAAAGTGAAGCAGGCTACATACCTGTATATATACACATAGTAATGACAGGTCACATGACTCACTCGGTAAACAAAAAATAGAAAATAAAATATAAATAGTAATCAATGAGGTGTAGCCCCCCTGAAATGTGATGATGAGATACCACAGGATAGAAATACACCACAGCATATATACACATATTGGTAAATTTACACATTCTTGGAAAAATTAAAAATAATTGTGAATATTTGCAATATCACATATTTACACTATATTTACATTAGGAAGGTACCACAATGAGGAAAGACCATGAGTTTGTGTTTAGACCAATAAAGCTTAGTACATACTGTAGTTGAGGTCTAAAGAAACAAATAGAGGATCATAAAAAAGGTCTCAGGTCAAAGTCTTCATTCAGACCCTTTGGACTCAAAGTGTCTAGTGTGTATATCCCGAAAGCTTTGCGTTTCAGTAATTGGGAATTAATGTCTCCTTCTCGGTTTGAAGGTTTGATGTGTTCGATTCCTGTGTACCTTAATGTGCTCACATTGTGTTTTGCTTATGTGAAGTGAACTGCCACTGGAATTTTTGAGTCAGGATTGCGGATGTTGCTCCGATGTTCAGAGACTCTGGTCTTTAAAGGTCTAGTTGTTTTTCCAACGTACGCCAGGCCGCAGGGGCATCTCAGCATGTAAATAACATTGTTCGCTTTGCAGCTTTTAGTACCTTTTACTCTGAAGGATTTCCCAGTTCTCGGGTGGTGAAAAGTTGTTGTTTTTTGTGTGAAGTTCACTGCATGCAATTGCCACATCTACTTGGGTAACAAACTGGTGAGGGCCAACTTACCCACTCAGCGCCAACCTCACTTTCTCCAAAACATACCACATGGTAACTATAGATGTGGCAATTGCATGCAGTGCAATCCTTCAGAGTAAAAGGTACTATAGGCTGCAAAACGAACAATGTTATTTACATGTATATACATGTGTATATATACACACTAGACACTTTGAGTCCAAAGGGTCTGAATGAAGACTTTGACCACAGACCTTTTTTATGATCCTCTATTTGTTTCTTTAGATCTTCCTGTGAGTCCAAAACAGACACCTCAACTACAGTATGTACTAAGCTTTATTGGTCTAAACACAAACTCATGGCCTTTCCTCATTGTGGTACCTTCCTAATGTAAATATAGTGTAAATATGTGATATTGCGAATATTCACAATTAAAATGTTTCCAAGAATGTGTAAATTCATCAATATGTGAACATATGCTGTGGTGTATTTCTATGCTGTGGTATCTCATCATCACATTTCAGGGGGGCTACCCAAGCCCCGGCGATCCAAGATGGCGCCCTATTCAAATGAATAGGGAAACTCGCCTGTATTTGGGCATCGTCTGGTCCTCCCGGTTCTGTGCAGTGGAAGATCTCCCATGATGCGTTGCGCCAAACACGCGTGTGTGGGTCTCACACCGGGTCTCACGCACGTGCACAGAGGGGCTCGGCCGTGCTTTGACCAATCACAGCAGTTCATCAGAGCGGGAGTTAGAGCGAGAGCCAGACGAGCAGAGTTTGTGGCACTAAAGTGTGGATTTAAACAAAACATAAGGATTTAACCCTTGTATAATGTTCATATTGTTGTTACTCAGCCAGTGTTCGTGGGTCTGATGGACCCTGTTGCATTGTGTGGCTTTTAATGCCTCACTCTCACACAATTATGTTAAAACCAAGCCCCGGCGATCCAAGATGGCGCCCTATTCAAATGAATGGTTGTGCTCAGTGGCGCTTTGTGACGGCATGGGGGCTGAAAGATTAGCGGAAGTTGCCTGAAACTCGCAAAGATCTATGGGAAACTCGCCTGTATTTGGGCATCGTCTGGTCCTCCCGGTTCTGCGCAGTGGATGATCTCCCATAATGCGTTGCGCCAAACACGCGTGTGTGGGTCTCACACCGGGTCTCACGCACGTGCACAGAGGGGCTCGGCCGCGCTCTGACCAATCAGAGCAGTTCATCAGAGCGGGAGTTAGAGCGAGAGCCAGACGAGCAGAGTTTGTGGCAGTAAAGTGTGGATTTAAACAAAACCGAAGGATTTAAGAAGAAAAAAAGTTCAGGATGACAAGGGACACTAAAATCCCCACAAAATCCGATCTTTATTAAAGCTGTAGGTTCTCTGTCAGCTGAGGTTGAGCTGTTTTAATATGCAATGAGTTCTATGGGGAAAATTTCTGGGTAGCCCAAGTGAATTTAGTCTGGTTCAGTCTGCAGTACCGCGAGAATCCCCTGCAGCACATGAGTTATTCAGCTACAAGCTAGTAATACCCTATCCAGTTAATATAATACATCCATGGTTAAAACACTGAACAGATGTTTACCTTATCCCAATTACAAGCATTATAAACAATATTTATGGTTAATACTTGTCCATGTTGTCTACCCTTCCGTTTGTGGTGTTATAATGCATGATGATCTCTGGTTTGTGATGTTCCTGGTCACACATTCTTCCATCCTCATTCTGTTACTCATGAGTACCACATTCTTGCCTTTCTTTGGCACATAGGATACCAGTAGTTTGCTTTAATGCTGTATGTACTCAAACTGGTTTCTGCATCCTCTGTGGCTGCAGCGTTCTGACCCGGGGCAGCTGTGGCCACCTTGTAGTAACACGGCTACAATTATAGTGTCCCGCCTCCATTTTGTAGCTGATAAATTGTGAGAAAAGAAAAGATTCCCGCAAGACAGAGGGTCAAATGTGCGAGAAAATGAGAGCAGACAGTGTTGACAAACAATGTTGGAACCTTGTGTGGGAACTGCTTCTTTTGTGTTTCTGCACCTGTAGTTCTCGCATTTGATCCTCTGATGTTCTGTGTACCTACACTGTGTCCTCCTCCTGTCTAGGCCTGGTGTGTGGGTGGGTGGGGGTGTGTGGAGCAAGGTTAATTTCCACACTTCTATTCGGCCCGGGTCCAGTGGACCCCGAACATCTTCTATGTAATAGAAATGTGTAGGGGGGGTGTACGGTGGGTGATCATTAAAAATTAATGCTTATATATGTTCTTCACAGAAAATGAGCCAAAGCCAGTGAGTCTCAGTTTGAAAAAATAATTAATTGTATCATTTTTCTTTTAATAAAAAGTGAAAAGGGGTCCCACAGACCCGAACACCACACAAGGGTTAAGAAGAAAAAAAGTTCAGGATAACAAGGGACACTAAAATCCCCATAAAATCCGACCTTTATTAAAGCTGTAGGTTCTCTGTCAGCTGAGGTTGGGCTGTTTTAATATGCATTGAGTCCTATGGGGAAAATTTCTGGGTAGCCCACGTGAATTTAGTCTGGTCTAGTCTGCAGTACCGCGAGAATCCCCTGAGCACATGAGTTATTCAGCTACAAGCTAGTAATACCCTATCCATTTATTATAATACTGTAGATCCATGGGCTACACCTCATTGATTACTATTTATATTTTATTTTCTACTTTTTGTTTACCGAGTGAGTCATGTGACCTGTGTGTAGCCTGCTTCACTTCACTTCACAGAAAGACCAGGAATGAACGAAAGCCTCTGGTCTTATACCAGAGTAACATAATATGAAAACCTGAAACATATGTCAATTATGACCTATGATCTCTAGACTCAAACACCCAGCTTCTTTTGCGGGCGCCGGTGTGTCGACTCTCAAATGTAAACACTGAGGTCTGCTCATAAGCAGATGTTTTGGCTTCTTAATGCATTAATACATTTGAATATATGTGTAATTATCACAGAAATAAAATATCAGATACCACTTATGTTTTGTGCATTCTGGCTGCATTTGGGAAGTTCTTGGCTCAAATTTCCTTTGCTGAAGAGGACAATGATGAAGGAGTCTAAGAAAGTCCCCTCCACACACAATACCTGGTCCATGAGTGCAGGCTGAGGCAGCCGCACAAAAGTTGTTGTTCATGTGCACACACAGGAATGCAGAAAACTCCTGAAACATTATGTTTGAACATTCCTCTCTGCAGGCCTCTGACAAGGAGATGCTGTGGGTGATCCGGGCCACTGTGGTGGTGGTGGGCATTTGTGGGACGGCCCTCACCACCTTCAAGAATAGCTCCCTGATCTTCCTGTTCTTAAGCTTTGAGACGCTCAACATCATCTTCCCCCAGTTCGTCTGCATACTCTTCTTCCGGCCCTCCAACTTGTGTGGGGCCATTGCAGGGCTGCTGGTGGGCTTACCTTTGCGGCTCATGTGCGGCGAGCCGTCCGTAGGGCTGCCTCCACTCCTGCACTTCCCGGGCTGCACGCTAGAGGACGGGGTCTATGTGCAGTACTCTCCAGTGAAGACTGTGTGCATACTGTCCTCTGTGGCTGCCATCATGGTCTTCTCTGTCCTCAGTGCTCAGCTCTCTGACCGCGGCCTGCTTCCCCAGCGCTGGGATGTGCTCTGTGTGAAAGGTCTTCAGCCGCCACGCGACAGTCAAAGAGCGCATTCAAGCGGCGTGCACTCAGACAACATGCACGAGGATAAAGTCACAGGTGGCGTTCAGATGGAATCCCTGAAGCCGATGCTTGATAGTTAAATCTGTATTTGGAAATTCTGTAGAGTACTAGCAAAAGAAGGTTTCTCACCCATCATCTGTACTTCTCAGCAGGTTTTCCCGACGTTTCGTTCATAATCCAAAGAACTTTTTTCTAGGGAATGAAATATCAGACCATGCGTTGGAGATTTATAACCTATGGGTGTGATTAGACACACTCTCCTGAGGCTAACTCATAAAAACATCTAAGGTCTGTTAAGATGTGGTAGGGAGCAGGTCCCTACCACCTATTGTCTGCTGAGATTGCTCAAGTGGAGTGCAGGTCTAACCAATCCCAACTCATTAGCACGTCACTGACCTTATCTATAATTAGGGCGTTGTTCTTTTAGCATGTTGTCATTTTTCATTCCCTTGAAAAAGTTATTTGAATTAAGGACCAAACGTTGGGAAATCCTGCTAAGAAGTACAGATGATAGGTGAGAAACCTTCCTTTGCTTTGACTAATCCCTGTACGACTGAGAGCTTACACAAAAGTATCTGTAGAGTACTGTAAGAAGTCTTCTCTGGTCCTGGGTTTTGACTCTTGAGAGCTGAGCTCGACTCTGGGTGGTCTTTGGTGACGGACAGTGTCTCAGTTCACAGAGGCTTCTTTTCAGCTCACTCAGCTCCAGCTGCACTTGGTCTTGGATCTATCAGACTCGACTCAGTCAACTCCCCTCTTCAGACTGGAGTGGGTTCTCCTCTATGCAAGTCCATGCCTCCATCAACACACGTCCATCCATCAGCCGTGGGAATGCACCCTCACTCACTTTAAATGCCACTTCCTTCACTTTTGTGTAAAAACGTCTAATTATTAGGAGATATTGATATGAGATCAGAGGAAAATCATTCAATTGGATAAAGTTATTTGACTCAAAGAAAGCAGTTTGTGGAGCTGGGAAGTTGCCTTTCATTACAGTTACATTTCTTCTGGTGTCCCACAGTGTGCAGTATTGGGCCTAAAATGGTTTCTTATTTATATGAATGATTTAGGCCAACTGTCTGAAGTATTGAAATCTGTGTTGTTTGCTGATGTCACCGGTATCTCTCCGGGCAGTTTTGCTTGTAAAGGGAATGAATACAGAGTTAGAGAAGAACAAGAAAAAATTATGGTTTGATTTACCATAATTCGCTGCCAGCAAATTTTTACAGTAGTCAAGCATTGAGGTGGCAAAAGTATGGATCCGTTTTTTCCGCGTCACTTTTACGACTGCAATTTTAGCTATGTTGCACAAGTGGAAATACGGCGTTTTAGTTGCTTGGTTTCTCCGTCTGTTGTGTTTAAGTTACACATAAACACAACAGACAGATTAAATTACATTAAAAACGACAGGTACACATCAAGTAAAACATTTACAGGTAATGGAGGCCGTCTCAAATCTCTGAATTTTGATTCTAAAGCATTCAGGGACAAAAGCTCGGTCAGCTTCCAGTCTCACTGGAGTATGTTCCAAGCAGAAGAAGCTGCAGGACAAAGGCTCTTTTTTCAAACTCTGTGCGGACGAAAGGCACGGTAAGCAACAGCTGCTCATTGGACCTCACAGAACAGCCTTGTAAATAAAAGCGTACCAATGACACTGCCTCCTAGTGGACAGGGAGGGCCATCCCACCTGAGCGTACAGCTCACAGTGATGTGTAGGAGCTCTACAGGAACCTCAGGGAAGCATGATAAATAGAATCCAGTTTTTGAAGACACACAGATTCATATAGAAAAGATCACCATAATCTAAGACAGATATAAAAGTGGCAGAGACAAGTCGCCGTTTAAAGTAGTACTAGAATTTAAAATATGCTGCTATCCAGAATATATAACTACAATATGTGTTTATAATATTTCGGGTGTTCATTTTGACATGTTCAGATGAATTATGTTAAAAAAACGGATTTGAAGAAGCACTTTTTCACTTCCGCATAGAAACGCTGATGGACGTTCTGTAAACTAGCTCATCAAGATGCTTTTAAAAATGTTTATTTCATCTGTATGGATTCCTAAGAATTGTACAACCTCAACTTTATTAATGATTTATGGTTGATTTAATATTTAGGTTGATCATGTCTGTTTGAATGAAAGACCATGTAAGTAGTCGCATTTGTGTCATCTGCAAATAGTATTCTATCGATATCACAAGAATTATCAACATCATTAATATACATAATAAACAGAAGGGGCCCCAGTATAGATCCCTGGGGAACCCCAAAATCTATTTGTCCAATTTGAGAGTCAGCCCCATCTATGTTTACATATAGTTGTCTTCCATAGACATACTGGAGAGCTATACCCTTGATGCCATAGTGAGTGAGTTTACCAAGCAAGACTTGAAAGTGGATCATATCAAATGCTTTAGGAAGGTCAAGAAAAACCTCAACGCCAATTTCTTTTTACCTTCAAGAGCGTTGTTGATTTTTTTCTACATGATCTAATATTGTCATACACTTGCTGCTGCTTTTCCTAAAGCCATATTGTGAAGGATCCAGTATGTTATGGATTAAATAATCCATTAATCTTTCAGGATGGACAAGATAGATATCGATCTGCAGTTTTATGTCCTTTTTGTCCCAAACTTTATATATAGGTATTATTTTAGACACCTTAGTTTGATAAAGGACAATGCCATGTTGTAAACGTAGAATGATTTTATGAGTCACTGGTTCAGCTATTTCAATCTCAAGAGCTTTTAGGATTTCCCTGCAAATACCATCCACACCAACAGTACACAAACATTTCATCTTATTAATTATATTGGTTACCTCCGTTTTGCACGTAGGGTTGAGGTCGCAGGAGCTTAACACCCCCTGGTGGGCCGATTTGTTGGGACAGCTTTTTCAGCTCTGAACATGAATTTGGTACTCTATTGATCCAGTTAGTGTAAAAAGCAACAGGGTAATATTCAGAGATATCAGAATATATTACACCTTACCTCCAGTGTTTTGGATGTTATTATATAGTCTACAGTGGTCCTGCTTCTCTCTGTAACTGTTGTAGTTAGCCTATTATATCCTCTTTAGATAAGACTATATTAAAGTCACCCATGATAACACAGTTTTTATTTATAATGTTTATGTAGTTTAACATGGTATCAAAATGTTGTTTTATAATCAAAATCAGGTGGTCGATAAACCTCTCCAATGTTGATAGAGCCTTTCATTGTTTTTACACAGTGGGACGACTGCGGGTGTAAAGTTCCAAACTGCCGTTGTGTCCTTAGGCAAGACAATTCACCCACATTGCCTAGAACGAGTCTGGTGTGTGTGTGATTGGTTGGTGGCCAGAGGCCGATGACAAATACTGATTGCCTCGCTTCTGTCATTGTGCCCCAGGGCAGTTTATCACCACTGTGTATGGAGTGAATGAAGAATGACATGTGCAGCGTCTTTGAGTGTCCAAAAAAGCGCTATATAAAACTGATGCATTATTATTATTATTATCATTATTATTATTATCCTCTTCTATGATATAATATCGCTCCTTTACACAATACTCAGTGTTTACATATAAACATGCTCCTCCTCCAATTTTACCTAGCCTGGCTCGCTAAATTTTACCCTATCTGTTCCTAAAATGTCCAGAGTATCCATCAAATGTATACTTACTTGAAATCTTCACAGCACCCAATTTAGTGTTATCAGTGGTCAGCCATGCTTCTTAGTTCAATAAGTGCAGTAAGTTTAAGTTCAGTGGTATCAGTGGTTAGCTCTCACCACTGTCACTGTGTTTCCCTCAGACAGAGACAGCTGTCATTGAGCTGTGTTTGGGTCCAGAGTGAAGTCTGTAGAGTACTATAAAGGTGCTTTCACACCGCCGACGCTGGAACGCTGACGCCTCGCGCACCAGACACACATTATCTAATTTTCACACATGCACATGCAGTTCCATGCTCGAACGCACGTCACCATTGACTTTGCATTGAAAGTCGACGCAACGCGTGATCCGGTCTGAATGCAGCATCCGAAGTCTTCTCTGGTCCTGGGTTTTGACTCTTAAGAGCTGAGCTGGACTCTGGGTGGTCTCTGGTGACAGAAAGTGTCTCAGTTCACAGCGGCTTCTTTTCAGCTTACTCAGCTCCAGCTGCACTTGGTCTTAGGTCTCTCAGTCTCGAATCAGTCAGCTCTCCTCTTCAGACTGGAGTGGGCTCTCCTCTTCCAACTGGGGTGGGCTCTCCTCTTCAGACTGGAGTGGGCTCTCCTCGACCGACCAGACTAGGGTGTGCTCTCGTTTTCAGACTAGGGTGGGCTCTCCTCTTCGGACTGGGGTGGGCTCTCCTCTTCAGACTGGATTGGGCTGTCCTCATCTTTATGTGTGTGTGTGTGTGTGTGTGTGTCATAGAAGCACACACACTCATAAACACTACTAAAAGAGTAGAGTCAGAACAGTGGCTGTGTTTGTGTTGAGGCAGTCCACCCTTTTGGTGCTCCACTGCTGGTATGGTATTGCAGGATGGGTCATGGTGGAGGACACATTTCCTGCATGAAGACAAAACATCTTTATTTTTCCTTAACTTGACCTTGTGCTCTGTTGGTGAGTGAATAGAGGCTGAAAACATATGTGTGGTGAAGGGCTGTGTAGTCACTTGAGTTATGTAGATTTAGAATATTAATTGATCTTAGAAGGGGTTTGATACCATCCATCAGGAAATCTTACTGCACAAATTAGAGTGTTAAGAGATCAGAGGAAAAGTGTTAGACTGGATACAAAGTTATTTGACTCAAAGAAGGTAGTTTGCGGAGCGAGAGGTTGCCTCTCTGAATGCCTGGAAATTTCTTGGGCAGTATCGGGCCTAAAATGGTTCCTCATATATGAAGGATGTATGCCAAGTGACTGTGTTGTTTGCTGATGTCACCACTATCTCTTTTTCAGGCAGTGCTGCTTGTGCAGGCGATGAATACTGAGTTGGAGAAGATTAAATTATGGTTTGACACAAACGACATAATATATGCTTGGTATTGGTCGAATTAAAATTAAATAGAAAAAGGGATAATCAGATCAAGGCAAGCTTTAAATCAAAAGTTTTTACATAATGCTCTATTGTGCTGCCATATTTCACTCGTGATTTTTCAGAAGAGAGCTTTAAGAACTATCCATGGAACATTATTATTTTTAAGTGTCTGTCATGGTGATGGCAGACACTTCCCATGTTGTGTTAATGGGAAGTTGACCAAATATAGATAATCAAAAGGTTAAACTTGAACCGACTTTTCCTGAAGAAGCTCTCCTATACCTCAACCATTTCAGTCTCTCATACAGACACCCAGCAATGTTTTCAAATGAAACATTCAGATTTTTTTTAAGGAACTTTTTTTTGGCATATAATTGGGATGCATGTCATATTTGTAACTGTATTGCCATGGCTATGACAGAAACACCAGAACATGTCTTTAATGGAAACATCTTCATATCATCATCACCGGGGGGTCATTTTATTATTGATACTGATGTTTGTATATGTCTTTGCATTTAGGTTGACATTTTTAAATCTGTCCAGGGACAACAAATGAAAAATAGCTTTGTGGCTAATTCTGGTACATTTACAGTATGTACACAGTGCCCTGTCAAAAAAGAAAAATATCAACTCCTACAGTTGCGCGGAACAGTCTGGTGAAGGTAAGGGCTGTTTTTCATTTTATTGGGTTGTCTGGATTTGTGATGGATGCATCACATAATCACAGTGAACCTCTTGACTTTTTGTGAATACAGTTAATAAATCTTAACTTTTACATACAAATATCAATTGGCTGAATGAGCATACACACACACACACACACACACACTGTGACTGTGATGTCATGGAAGGAAACTTGGGAATCTCCCGGATCCAAAGAACTTTTTTCAATTATAAACTTCCCACTTCTACCTCTAGATGGGGATATTTGACTACTTACTCTTTGTATATCATCATTATTATACACAAATTATTCCAATGATGTGCACATTCTCAGGAACAGGTTTCAAATGCAAATTGAACATATCTCATGTGTAGTAATTACTGTGCGTTGAAAAAGAATGCGATTCAATGGTACAACATAGACATTTATTTCCAATACCCAAATCATATAGTTATTCCACCAGCTCTGTGTCGGACAGCTCTGCTCTTCCAAGTCCCTAGTGAGCCTCCTGATGATTCTTTCCAAGCTCAGTATGTAGTAAATTAATGCACAAGGTGAAAATATCATCTGTAACAAAAGCAGATTACTTTGACTTGGGGCTGATTTTTTTTTTTCTTTTTTCAACGTTATATTCAGTGTACACATCGACGAGATGTTTCGCAAAATGAATCCTCAGAGTATTTTGTGAGGACTGGCCGTAATTCTTGGCAGGATTTTCAAAAGGCAAGACAAAGTGGAGTCCTCTCGCTCACCAGAGAATGAGCGGAATGTCCTTTTGTCCAGCGCGCTCATATAAAACAGATTTATATATATATAGATATATATATATATTTTCTTCTTTGTGTACAGTAAAGGCCACAATCCATGTTTCTTTTTTTCCCACAGGACAAATTATTGTCCATATAATAAGAATACGTCATGTACAGAAGCTTGTCCTTGTGTTTCATTGCTCGCTCAGGCGTGTTTTTGATCGGCTAAGGATTTGGATTTGCGGCTCGCGGGTCGTGGACTTGGCGTTGGGATGGAGGAAGCACACAGTCTCATTCGCTTCCAAAATGGCGGTGGGCCTGGCGTGTTTACACTGCGCGACCGCCTTGAGCTGCTGCTGCGCGTCCTCCAGCAGCAGTGTTGCGTGTTCCTGCTGCTGAGCCACACTGTGCTCGTGCTGGTCTGCCAGCGTCCGCTGATGGGAGACCTCCACGTCGTAATGGCAGTGGATGGAGGGGATGATCGGGATGGAGGAAGGGCAAAGTGCAGGCTCTTCGTGCAGCCGCTGCTCCATCGGAGGGTTTGTGCTCTGAAGGTAGAAGGTCGATGTTTTGTCCTTATTGTCCTGGACTGGGCTTCGTATGTGCAGGAACGTGTCCTGGCAGAGGTCGCTGTAGTGGCAGTCGCTCTGGCTCCCAGACCTGGAAGAGAAGAGCAGAAAGAAAACTGTTAAGGCATGAGACAAAACCGTTCACATTTAAAACTGTACAGTAGTCACTCGCTATTATGTGGTTCATCTTCCGCAGCCTTGCTGTTTTGCAGATTTTTGTGTGCGATTTAGCATGTTTTTTTTTTTTTACAATGTGGTTCAACATTATATACAACATCATATAACTCACTCAGTAGGTTATTCAAAATTAGATTCAATTATTTGGTAATGTTTTTTGTTTCAATATTTACTACATTATATTTACAAATTTGTTTTTAAATCATAAACAAATATATAGCTTTTGCTTTGACGCACATGTCCCATTAGACACTGTGTTGGAGTGTTCTGTAGCGCCATCTAGTGGTTACAAAAGACAATGCAGTCAATACTGAAGTCAACAATGCTACTTTCTTCAGAAAATTCCAAACTATTTTGATGAGTGCTGAAGAAAAAAGACAATTACTGAATAATTTACTTGTTCCTGGATAGATCTGTCAGATCTCATGCAGGACATCAGTTTAACATCAGTAAGAGCAAAGGGACCTGTAAGACACTGTTACAGTGGCGCACAGCAATATTTATTCAGTCTACACATGATAGTGGTAAACTGTAATCTTGCTGTCCCATCTGCCCTGAGGCAGACTAACAGAGGCTATCGCAGTCAGTGCCAAAAGCCCTTCTATTATTTTCCGATCCTGAAACCCTAACCCTATAATCTGGCACTCCTATCTTAGATGATAGTAATGCAGATGACCGAACAGTGTGGATGTCCTGAGAGTGTCCTGTGAGAGTCATGTTACTGAGGCTGACCCTTTGAGTGGTTGGGGGTCCGGTCTGGAGGGGTCCCTGTCCCGAAGGTGCTTGTATGCAGCATCTGAACACTTGGGCAGTCCCATCTGAAGCCTCCCTCTGGGGAAGGACGCAGGCTTACTCAGTGCAGACACATGAGGGCCGGAACTGAAGAATGTCAAGCCCTTCCTGAAACACATGAGTAAAGACAACCCTTCAAGTATGTGTGTGTGTTCACTGTTGGTAAAGTGTGTTCATGTTTTCACTGCTGGTAAAGTAGGTATATGTGTTCACTGCCGGTTAATGAACACTGTGTTCTGCTGTAAACACCCCAGCACAGCTCACATGTGCACACTGAGGTCAGTGACTTAAAAATTGTCTCTCTCCTCATGAGCTTTCCTTGTGAGCTGCCTGTTCTCTTTGTTCTCTATGAATCCAGAATCTTAAACCGAGCTCTCAAAAATAATTAATGACTCTTCTGGCCCCTGTAAAGGCCATGTTCCAGCTTCTTTCTTCTGGCAGATGATATTGTTTGTTGAGATGCAGGACATTTTGTTTTGCTAACAGCTTCTTTCCACAAGCTGTTATCAGTTAAAACAAAGCACTTTAACGGCTATCTGTCATTTCATGTTTGGAATTCATCTCCAGCAGAAAATATATTTAACAGTGACAATTGTTTCTGTAATTTTTAGCTTCTTTTTAATCATGACATCACACCAGTGATTCTGAAGTTTCAGAATCACACCATTGATTCTGAAGTTTCAGTGGTTTAGAGCTGTGGTTCCTGGTGTTTATCTTGTGATATGTTGTCTTTTTAAATTCACATGTGAGCAATACACGGATTATATTGTGGCCTTCATTTGTGGGGGAAATTCTCAGCAACATGTCTGCCCCTGTTTCGGCGTGACGCTAACAGCACTTATGTTCAAATCGGCTTCTTCCACATTAAGGCTCACACTATAGTGATGTCACACTCGGTTAGTCCACTCCTCATATACAGTCAATGGCTGTGACAGGAGCAACATCTCTCCACAGCTCAGCAGCCATCAACAGAGACAGTGATATGAGGTAAGCATCTCCAAATCTTCTCCGACGACCCTTCTCTGGGGGACATCTTTACCCTACTGGAATATTCATGATGTTTATTTGTCATCCTGAGGACTTTCCTTCTTTTAAAAGATATCTTATTTATGGTGTGGTGCTCACATATGTCAGTGGTCTTGATTCAAAGTGTGGGTGGAATCTCATTTTGAAATAAAAAATCCATCATGTCTTCATGTTTAAGCCAAGTCTGATTCTTTTAATCAGACAAAGAGTGTAGAGAAGCTAGTTCTGCTGAATTGTCAGCTATTCATATGTGGCGCCACTTGCAGTTGCAAAGCAGATCCCATCGGACCTCTGAAGCTCAGCAGGGCCTGGTTAGTACTCTGATGAAATACCTCTGGGAACACCAGTTGCCACAGTGGGGCGGGTGCGATTGTGTTTGTGAATAGTTGGTTGTGGCATATACTGATTGTCTCGCGTCAGTGTGCCCCGGGGCAGCTGTGGCCACAGTACTAGTGTATCACCACCAGGTTTCAAGTAAATGCATAATGTGAATAGTCTTTAAATGTCGTGAAAAACACTGTCAACCACGTCCGACCACGAGACGTCACACCATCACAAGTTTCCCCTGACTAATTCAGAAGTCTACTGCCCAAACATGTGGTGCTTAAGCAGAACTAACATCTTTACATTTTTGTCTGATTAAATTTTGTTTATACACCTTAATCTGTAATGTGTAAGATGAAGCCACACTGAAGCTGCAGATGATCCTCAGCTCAGTCTTCAGCAGCAGTAACATCACTGCACAAGGGTTTTCAAATCATCAAGGGAGGCTCACCGTGGGGGCGTGGCCGTCCTACTACATCTGCAGAAGGAGTTGCTGATGCTGCAGTGGTTCAGACTGGACTCTGGACACTGGAACAGCTTCTTATAGTTCTGTCAACAGAGAAGAAGTCGTTACAGCTCTCAAACCAGAAGCCGAATATGGACATTGTGACAGTTTTGATAGTGCTTTCAAAACATCCAGGTCCGGTCCGGTCCGGTCCAGTTCAGTTCAGTTCAGTTTAGTCAATTCAATTCAGTTTATTTTTGCACCGTCTCAAATCCCAACAGCGGTTATCTCGGAGGACTTTACAAAGTTGTTGAATTTCCAACACAGATTAGAGAATAAACACAGGAAATCTAATTATAAAAACAATGTAGAGCCATTGGTCCGTAAGGGGCAGATAACCAATGTCCATCAATGTTAATAGATGCCCATAAATGTTGGTAAATGTCCTGGATCATCACCACTGTCCTTAAACCCTTTAATTCAGAAAGGAACAACTCAAAAAACCAGTGAGAAAAAAGTGAGAAACCCCTGGGATGCTCACATTGAGGACCCATGATGCTGATATCGGCAGTGGGGGACAGTGGCTCAGTTGGTAGAGCGTTGGCCTTAGAGCTTGAATGTCGTGGGTTCGAGCCCACCGTAATGCCGCGTTCAGACCGGATCATGCGTTGCGTCTGCTTTCAATGCAAAGGCACGCACGAACGGACTGCTCAGTAGAGACGCACGGACTGCGCGGGAAAGTTGAAGGGGAGGAGCAGGAGCGGAAAATAAACGCCCTCAGGAGATAAAATTTGCTCAATCTTTCCTCGGGACGTTTGTTCAGTGACCAATCAGAGAGCCGCAAAGTGGTCACGGGGACATTTGCGGACTGAGCGAGCAGACTGAACATACTGTTAACAGCCAAAACAGGAGCTACACCACGACTTGAAAACAGGGTTGACAATGGGGGACTGTGTGCTTGTGAATATATGCGTTGTCAGGCTCCCGTGACTTTATGCAACTGCTTCGAGTGTGTTTGCCGATGCGGAAGTACCGTTTAATAATAAAACAAACGTATTGCGCACCTCCATGAACACATACTACTGTTATATAAAGTCTGTGGAAGGTCTCTGAACACAGAGACTCTGCCAAGCTGCATTATTGGAGAAGATCTTTACACGAGAAGCCGCTAGCATAACTCTGTTAGCATCAGAGCTGGCCGGCTACTTCCGCCACTTCCGGCGCTGGTCAGGACGTTCTGGTGTGAAGACCCGTGCGTCTGAAAACGAGAGAATGCGCATCTGGTGAGCGAGGCTTCAGCGTTTGAGCGTTTGCGGTCTGAACGCGGCATAAGACCTACTTCACGACTCCCACTGATGACTGCTGTCGTTGTGTCCTTGGGCAAGACACTTAACCCCACTTTGCCTGAAGCCCCCACTGAGAGATCTCAGCACCTGCAGGAGGGGCTGGTGCTCTGTGTACTGGGTGCAGCTCTGACTGCCACCCCCCTGACCCAGAAATGGACTAAGGGGAAGAAATTGGATGGATGGATGGATGCATGAAGCTGAAATCTCTAACTTTTAATGATCCTGGTCACAAGTGGAGAAGTGGGTCATTTTACATTTTCAAGTCTTAAAAATAGTGTCTAGTTCATTTCAGTCCGAGTCAGCAGGCCCACACCGCTGGGAACTCCTTCTTACATCTGTTATGTGCAAGAGTTACATGGAGGAGCCTGAAAATACTTTTACATCAGTTTGGGAGATTGTAGCCTTGAGATAAAATACGTCAGAGACAATGAAAAGTCCAGCTTTGCATGAGTTCTTCAGCAGAATCAGTGATTTGATCATAGTGATGTCTGCTTTAATGAGCCTCTCACCTGGTACGTCTGCACACTGCTGCTGGGGGGCCGGTCTTCTCCCAGTGCATGGTGGGAGTTGTAGTTCTTCAGAGTCTGGTGTTCCTTCAGATGGGCCTGGAGCTTCTCCCTGTGTCGCCTGCACACACACACATTCACACAAACACAAACACACACGCACACACACACACACACACAGAAAACGGCCGTGGCTTGTTTTTAATGTAGTGTTACATGTTCACACAATAGGTTCACACTGGATTAACGATTCAAATGTAAATTTCTCTCCATTGTATGATGCAAGATGACAAACTTTTTAAACAATATTCCCCATTCCTTTATTCTTTGTATTATATCACACTGTCTGTATTCAACTCACACAGTGGCCCTGAAAACTCTCCTCAGATACGTCAAATTAATGATCAGCTGATTTTGTTTCCCCCCTGGGCAAATTCCGTCAAAATCGGAAAAGCCAGGGGGCGCAATGGCGTCTCAGGTGGAAGAGAATACAAATGACCCACATGTGTAGGAGTCAAACATGATACAAGCGGAAGAATAAGCAGTAGTTCCTGGTTCCCAGACTGTTGGACTCACTTGTTGCGGTGGTACAGGGCCATGCACACCAGGCCCAGCAGACTGATGGCTGTGACGATCGACGTGATGGACAGCACTTGTCTCTTAGAAGCCTCTTTACTCTCTGAAGGCACAAGCACACCCTCCTGTTAGTTAGCGAAGACTGATCACTACTGCACATCCTTTTAAAGGACTGAGCACTACTGCACATCCTTTTAAAGGACTGAGCACTACTGCACATCCCGTTAGAGGACTGATCCCTGCTGCACATCCAAAAACACTTCAATCAAACAAAATTCTGACCACTTAATGAAAAGTCAACACAGGAGAGTGAAAGGGTCTTAAAAACGATGTGTTAAAATGTGTTTATTGGGGACAATCACAGACAAATTCTACTCACCCATGAACTCAATTCCTAGGTGATCTGCACGGCCAGCAGCCGATGGGAGGAGAGAGGGGGGAGAGAGGAGGGGAGGGGAAGGAGGAGGGGAGCAGGTTAAATGGGAGGGAGCGAGAGAGGGAGAGAGGACAAGAGCCATTATTGTATTATTATTCCCTTGGCAAACTTGGTTTTGTGCTCATAATCGGCAAAACGGTCAAAAGAGGAATGCCATAAATATATAATATAGATTGAAAGGGATATTATTAGGATCTTAACCTATTCTTCATGCTTTCGAAAATACTATAATAATCATTATTAGGATTAATAATAACAATGATATGGTACAAAGACACTATTCCTTTCTCCAAACACAGTATTATTATATACATTAAATAATTATGTTGTTGGGAATTCAATTACAAATGTTCTAACCCTATTCATAATTATACATTATTTTAAGCAGCATTCAAACAGCGGCAGACGAGTGCAACCCGGGCCCAGAGGCTTAACGGCAGCACCGTCCAGGAAACTGAGGCCTGGGGTAAGAGAGGGGACCCACACCACTCCCATTAAAGCCGTCTTCAGGAAGGTTCCATCACTCAAAAGACTTGAAATGACCAGTGTAACTATCTATCTTTGGGCTTTAATTTAAAGCTGGGGCACCTAACTTTCAACTGCAAATCATGAAACTATGTCATCTACAGGTCCTTGCTACAGTTGGAGCTGTGATTGGCTCCTGCTGAGAGCGGCTCTTACTTGGGTCCGACAGCACGGAGTCGGTCTTGGGGAGGAACTGGTCACAGCGGATCCCCTGGTACCCCTCCAGACACCTGTGCAGCAGAACAGAGGGTGAGAGGTGAGAGTTTATGTCAGAGCTGCACCACAACAGTGTTCAGTTCAAACACACAAAGCTGCTTTCCCCTTGGTACATCAGGCACTTCTGCCCCCTCCCTTTCTGTTCCAACGATCTCTTTTCAAACTCGTCACAGACAATGACAGCATGGTCGGAGCTGTTCTGCTCTTAAATGACATTCTTTATACCTGTGTTTGTTCAGTTTTTTTAGAGCTCAGACTGTCATGTATTGTTATACTAAGGGGTGTGTGCATTTTGCATTGATTTGTCACTGCATTTTTCATGGTTTAGTTAAAGCTCAGGTACCTAACTTCCGCATGAATAATACGTGTAGTTTGAACAGTTTTGTAAGTAAAATGTTGTGTCTGTCTTCATCTTATTAGAAAAGATTGGGCCTCATTGCTCAGTGCTTAGGATTTGTTCCTACCTAAGAGAAATCCTGGATAAGAGAACAAATTTGTGAATGCCACAATCTTGCTAAAATCCTCATAAGTAGGATTTACAAAAAAAAAATATTCTTAAGAACAGTTGAATGAGGCCCTTTAGTGTAAGAAATAGCCCTTGATTGTTACATTGATCTTACATTGGTCAATTGTTTGTGGTTTGAAAGGAGGTCTGGCTGTTGGATTCAAATAAGCTTCTTGCTTCATATGAACCCTTTTATAATATATATCCTAACACATAATTTAACATGAACATGTTCTGAGTATTATTATAAATAATATATTATTTTAAAGACAAGAGAAGAGCATATTTTCTTTCATGAAACTGGAAGCAGCTTCTCACTGTGAGTGCTATTTACACCACCAGATGGCAGTAGTGACCAGGACGTAATACAAGGCCTGAGCTCAGCAGCAGTGATGTTGATCCACATATTGACAGTCTGCACACTTGTCTCCTACAGAACTGCATGAGTGATTTTTGAGCTCAATGATTCCCAATAAATTCATGCCATCAGCTGCAAAACCGTGTTCTGCTGCTAATGAGACATTTACTAAGACTCCCTCAGACTCCTCCAGTTGTAGCCCAGATCCCCCCAGACTCCCCCAGAGCTATATCTGCTCAGGGGGAGTCTGAGGGGGTCATCCTTCAAGTTTGAGAAGGGTCTAACGTCATAATGGTGCACATGAATTCAGTTAAAACACATTTTCTACAGAGTATTGTGTATTGGCTAGGAGCAGTTATGAGAGCAGTCCTTAGAGGATAGTAGTAGTTATTGGAGTAGTATTAGTAGTAGCAGTAAAGTAGGCGTAGTAGTTATTGGAGTAGTAGTAGAAGTAGTAGTAGTTATAGGGGTAGTGGTAGAAGTAGTAGTAGTTGTAATTATTAGATTAAAAGTAGTCGTTATCGGAGTAGTAGTGGTAGTAGCAGTGAATGTGAATGTGTGTGTATGTTTGTCTCTGTGTGCTTGTGTGTGTGAGTTTGAATTTGCGTCTGTGCACATGTGTGTATTTGTGTGGGTGTGTGTACATGTGTGTAGGTTTGCATGTGTATGCATGTGTGTGAGTGAGTGGTTCCTTGATGTGAAGTGCTTTGAGAGCCGTGAAAAGGAAGAAAAGTGCTGTATAAATGTGAGCACTTAGCAGTCGTAGTGGTAGTACTTCTCATTGTAGTTAAAGGAGCAGCCTTATTTATCAAAGTAATAGTGGAAGCAGTTATAGTGGTACTTCTTTCATAATAGGAGCAGAACTATTTATTTTATTTATTTATTTTATTTATTTATTTATTTATTTGACAGGGACAGTGCAAAAAAACATTGTCACCCACAGGTAACCGATGTGAAGTACACAAGGCTTCTAGCCAAAGGCTAATTTGCAAACCCCGTCCCTGGTTAGGCTTTTAGAGTAGTAGTACTGGTAAGGCAAGGCAAGGCAAGGCAAGTTTATTTATATAGCACAATTCATACACAAGGCAATTCAAAGTGCTGAACAAAACAAGAAAGCATTAAAATCATAAATTATCACAGAACATTAAAAAGAAAGATAGAAATATAAAATCCCTCAGTTGTATGCACAGTTAAACAGAACTGTCTTTAACCTGTTTTTAAACATTGTCAGAGAGGAGGCCTGTCTCACAGGCTCTGGTAGTTAAAAAAGTAATGTATTGCTTATTGCTGTGACGTGATAATTTAAGCCAGTACAAAAAAATATGTGATAATATTTTAAGGTCAGTTACGTGTGTTGCATTGCATTTTAACCCAAAATTAAATTGTGTGTTTGTTTTTTTCTGCACCATGCCACCATGAGGTCAGCAAAGAACAAAATCCATGTCAACAGCAGCCACCTGACGTACTGTATTTTCCTCATTATTTAGAGTTTGTGGAGGAAAGATGTGGAACTTTCCAGTTAAGAGCACTTTATCTGCCAAAACAAAAGCTCTGTCAACCTCACGCAATAGTATCATGAGCTACATTTAGTTCGGATATAAATATTTGGAGAGGTGGTAGTCTAATGTTTTACGATTCAGAGACAGTAATATTGTAGTGTAACAAATTACTTTACAAGTTATAAATAATGTATTACGTTTTTGAAGTAACTTACTAGTGTAATAACTACTAGTTGTGCACTTATTTAAAAGTAATATGCTATTGATGTAAACCACACTCAGGTATGATTTGACGAGTAACACAAATCACAAATGCAAAGAGATCATTTGAATGTAAAGAAACAGCAAAGCCTTTTGTTAAGGTCAAGCTTCTTCACCTTCACAAGTTACAAATCTCCAACTGTTTAAACCTTTAATGACTACTGCAGCTTCGTGTTAATGCTTCTCTCCTCTAACCCGCCCTGACCGCTGCCCACTCCACAGTGTAAGTGTGTGCTGCTGACCCTAACAAGACCACTATTTTAATAATACATGCTCCGGTTGTTTTCAGTTTGCTTTGAAGCTGACATGGCTCTCCTGCAATCAGGCTGAAGGCGGAGGGATTCTGAAGACAACAAATCAATAGCAGCAGCATTTCAAAGCTGTCAGAGAGAGCGGGCACACTCTGCTCACTCTGGTGCAAAACACTGGTGCACCATCATCTCACAGGGCATTTTGTCACTATTGAGTTCAGAGTCTTGATGTCATACAAAACAGGATTCTCTCATTGGGTAAGGTTGTTTTTGTTAATCCGTTATCATTGTAATTGCAAATCAGATGGTTGTCTGTATATGCCTCAGTCAGTCTTCAGAAGGGTTTGGATCATATGTGGAGGTCTGTGTACGTTTCAGAAGGGTTTGGATATGTGGAGGTCTATGTTTGCTTCAGAAGGGTTCGGATCTTACGTGGAGGTCTGTGTACACTTCAGAAGGTTTTAGATCATACGTGGCTATCTGTGTACACTTGAGAAGGGTTTGGATCTCACATAGAGGTCTGTGGACCCTTCAGAAGGGTGTAGACCTTATGTGGAGGTCTGAGTACGCTTCAGAAGGGATTAGATTTTACGTGGAGGTCTGTGTACACCTCAGACGGGTTTGGATCATACATGAAGGTCTGTGTACGCTTCAGACGGGTTTGGAGCATACGTGGAGGTCTGTGTATGTTTGAGAAAGGTTTGGATCATATGTGGGGGTTTATCCACACCTCAGTCAGCCTTCTGTCTTAACAAGGCGAGAGCAGAGCGAGTCTACGTGCTGAAACACAGATCTTATTAACCGCAGGGCCCAGGACTGAAGAGAGAGTAAGTCCACTGACAGCTCCACGTGTGGGCTAGGACTGCTGCTCTATCCTTTCACTTGACGCTGCTCACAAAGAATCTGTAGCCAGACTTAAAGCTGGGTAATCTAACTTCCAAACCACACAAGATTGAACTATGTGGTTCAATTTGTGGTTGTAAAAATATTTGTAGCACTTGTTTTCACGTATGATGTATGGGTTTGGTCTTTGTCACATGTTTAGATCATTTATAGGACCACTCTTATTCAGAAAATCCGCTCACATATACAGTACGGACCAAAACTTCGGACACACCTACTTGTAGATTCACACTGAAGGCATTTAAACTATGAATGAACTCATGTGGAATTATGTACTTAAAAAAAGTATGGAACAACTGAAAATATGTCTTATATTCTAGTAGCCACCTTTTGTTAATATTACTGCTTCGCACAGTCTTGGCATTCTCTTGATGAGCTTCAAGAGGTAGTCACCTGAAATGGTCTTCCAACAGTCTTGCAGGAGTTCCCAGAGATGCTTAGCACTTGTTGGCCGCCTTCACTCTGTTGTCCAGCTCACCCCAAAATCATCTGGATTGGGTTCAGGTCCAGTGACTGTGGAGGCCAGGTTTTCTGTTCCGGCACCCATCACTTTCCTTATTGGTCAAATAACCCTTACACAGCTTGGGTGTGAATCTACAGTCAATAGCCATGAAAAGAAGGAAACTCATTGAATGAGAAAGTGTGTCAACACTTTTGGTCTGTACTGTGTATAGTGAAACGTGTTTTCTAATTTAATCAAAACATCATCTTGTTTCCTAATCTTTCCAAAACAGTTTACTTTTACAAGACTGTCGGTTGGGACACCGTACAGCCTCAGTCCTGAATATACATCCTGTCCAACCGAGTGAGCGGATCACTTTTCTCACTTTTTGGTTCCTTGTCAATGCAGGAGGGTCTGAGGATAGTGACGACCATGGACATTTATTAACATTTCTGGACAGTGGTCTTCCCATTCCCTATAACCCAAAGGCTCTTATATGTTTATTATTATTGCATTTCTGTGTTCTATCAGCTTGATTTTCTGATCTGATACTGAGGAACGTCTTTGCAAAGTCCCCCGACATGTTGGGATTTAGGGCTATAGACAAATACATTCAACAGCAGACTTGAATCAGCTGTTGTATTTGTAACAATTTCTTTGCTTATAAAACCAAAATTATTGTAGTGATTTGAATAATTAAATGATTTAACCCTAACCCTTACATTTGGAATCATAATATAGACTTCATACACTTCTCATCAAAATATGTTTTGCTCCATCCACAGTTCTATCAGG